TTTTTTTTTTTTTTTGAGTTGAGGTCTCAGTCCGTGGCCCAGGACGGAGTGCAGTGGCCCGATCACTGCTTACGCAGTCTCGACCTCCTAGGCTCCGGTGATCCACACACCGAGTAGCTAGGACTACCCATGCCACCACCCTGGCTAATTTATTTTTTTTAGAGATGAGGTCTGGCTATGTTGCTCAGACTGGTCTCAAACTCCTGGGCTCAAGTGATCCAAAGTGCTGGAATTACAGATGTGAGCAACCATGCCCAGCCTGAGGGAGCTTTTAATTATGCCACTGGACTCCAGCCTAGGGTGACAGAGTGAGACCCTGACTTTAAAAAAAAAAAAAAAGTGCTGGGCACGTTGGCTCAAGCCTGTAATCCCAGCACTTTGGGAGGCCAAGGTGAGAAGATTGCCTGAACTCAGGGGTTCGAGACCAGCCTGGGCAACTTGGTGAGACCTTGTCTCTACAATAAATCAAAAAAGAAAAAGAAAAAAAGAAGCCTGGTTCAGTGGCTCACACCTGTAATCCCGGCAGTTTTGGGAGGCAGAGGAGGGAGGATTGCTGGAGCCCAAGGGTTCAAGACCAGCCTGGGAACTTGGCAAGATCTCATCTCTACAATAAATCAAAAAGTTAGTCGAGTGTGGTGGCGTACACCTGTGGTTCCAGCTACTCGGAAGGCTGAGGGGGAAGGTGAAGGGCGCAGGGAACAGTCAGAAGGGCGCCTCCTGAGATGGCGTTGAATACTATATAAAACCACACAAAGACAACAAAGGCCTTAAGCTCCAGCTTCTCCACATACAGTTTCGTGCACGCGCGAAATTTAAACCTGTGCAAATAATTTCTCCCTATAGGAATACTACCTCATAGTCTCCTCCAATAAAGCCCAAGCACGGCACTGGCCAGCCCCGCCAGGTCCATAAATACAGCCCTCTCCCTGCATACCTCTCTCTTCTCCTCTCTCTCTCTCTCTCTCTCTCTCTCTCTCTCTCTCTCACTCTCTCTCCCCCCAGTCTCTCTCTCTCTCTCTCCCTTCCTAACCCCTGCGGCTACAGACCCTTTTCCTTTTCCCTGTAGCCACTGCTTTAATAAATCTCTTGGTCCCTAACAGGTGTGGAGTTGTTACTGGAGCCTAAGTTCTTTCAGCAGGGTCACCTGAGCCCAGCAGGTTGAGGCTGCAGTGGCCAAGAGTGTGCCACTGCACTCCAGCCCGGGCAACAGAGTGAGATCCAACTTCAAAAAACAAACAAAAAGGGAATATGAGGTAGGAGGTTAAAACCACCCTGGGCGACATAGGTAGAATCCATCTCTATATTTATTTAAAAAAAAAAAATAAAGGGGGGGGGTGGGAATATGACTCATGCTCTTTGGTAACGTGTTTTGTCCACTCTGGCCCAGCTTTTGAGGCTGTGGAATTTTCCACCCAAGGATGTCAAAAGTGGAACGAGTGGTTAGAATGAGCATTGGGAGCTGGCAAAACCTGGCGTGTGTTGCTACCTCACTGTGTGATACTCAGCCAAGTTACTTAATCTCCCTGCACCTCAGTTTCCTTGTCTGTAAACTGGGAACAACAAGAGTACTGACCTCATTGCATCGTCCTTATGATTAAATGAGGTTAAAAAAACTTCAACAGGACGGGGCTCAAATGAGGAGCTGGATGTGTTGGAACTATATTTATTCTGGTGGGTGTTAAAGTTGTTTCTAACTTTCCGCTATTAGAAAAGTGCAAAAGCCTGAAATACCCTGAAGGCGAATTACAACAAATTTGGGACAAGTCACATCACACTCAGTCTCAGTTGACCCACCTGTAAAAGGGGAAACTATGGTCGAGCGCGGAGACTGTCATCCCAACACTTGGGGAGACCGAGGTGAGAGGATTGCCTGAGCCCAGGGATTTGAGACTAGCCCGGGCAGCTTAGCGAGACCTCATTTCTACAATAAGTCAAAAAATTAGCCAGGTGTGGTGGTGCATGCCTATAGTTCCAGCTACTTAGAAGGATGAAGTGGAAGGATCGCCGGAGCCCAGCAGGTCAAGGCTGCGGTGGCTGTGAGCGTGCCATTGCACTCCAGCCTGGGTGACAGTAAGACTCCAACTCCAAAAAAAAAGAAAAAGCCTTTTAGCAGTGAACAGTTACACTCAGTTCTCCCAGCCATGTCCCCAGCCCTACCAACCATTCATCTACCTCCTGTCTCTGTGGAATTTGCCTAATCTGGACATTTTCTGTCTGTAGAATCTTAGAATCTGTGGTTCTGGTCGGGCACCACCATGCCTGGCAGCTTGGGCCTGTAATCCCAGCACTTTGGGAGGCCAAGGCGGGAGAATCGCTTGAGTCCAGGAGTTCCAGACCAGCCCGGGTAATAGAGTGATGCCATCTGCAAGTAATTATACATAAAAGACAATAGGCTGTAAGTCCAGTAAACAACAGCATCCATCCCAAGCTTTTGTGGAAATAAAATACCCCTCTCCTGAACACAACTTCCACAGGAAAAGGATGTGAGAGAAGGACGCGTGGAAATTTGGAGGAAAGAAAGGCCGGAGAACAGCCAGCGCAAAGGCCCCGGGGCAGGAATAATTATGGCATATTCGAAGAGCAGCAAGGTGGCCAGCGTGGCTGGAGTTGAGTGAAGAGGGAGAGGAGAGAGATAAAATCATGGCGGGAATGCGGACTCATCCAGAGACCCTGTGGGCCAGATGTAGCCCAGCATTCACCCAAATGTCCCTTTGCCCTTAGACACACAAGTGGACTACATTTCCCATACACCCTTGCGGCTACGCGGGGCCATGTGACAGAGATTCAGCCAATGGAATGGGAGCAAAACTAACAGGGCAAAGAGGAAGCCAGTTATCAGGATGCCTTCACGTCGCGAGCTTTAACAGATGGGTTCAAATCCCCTCTAAGCGCACCTGGGCCTCCTCCCCTTTCCTCCCCCATACCTCAGTCCCCCCACCTTCTTAAAATGTGGCTGATGATCCTACTCTTATAAGGTTGATGACCCAGTGCAGTGGCTCCCGCCTGTAATCCCAGCACTTTGGGAGGCCGAGGCGAGTGGACTGCCTGAATCCAGGAGTTCGAGGTCAGCCTGGGCAACTCGGCAAGACCTCGCCTGTACAATAAATCAAAAAATTAACCAGCTGTGGTGGCATGCACCTGTGGTACCAGGTACTTGGTAGGCTGAGGCGGAAAGATCGCCTGAGCCCAGCAGGTCGAGGCCGCGGTGAGCTGTGATCGTGCCACTGCACTCCAGCCTGGATGGTAGAGTGAGACCCTGGCTCAAATCAAACCCAAAAGGGAATACAAAAGATTGGACGATGAAATAAGACAATGGTTTCACCATTTTGGTCATGCTTTGCCTAATGACATCCTGAAGTTTCGAAAAGGATTGTATTGGGCGCTTTTGGAGACCCAGAAAACCATCAGGCCCGAGCCCTCCCTCGAAAGCGTCCTGGTCTTGTCGATGAAAGATGCCAAACTCTGCAAAATTTTTAAGATGGCTCGTTCTGAATCAAACGTGAGTGCCTGCTATGGTTAAATTGTAGGTTGACCATATACATTTTGGAAGGAGGTCACAAGAAACCATAAATGAATACATGTGAGATTTACAGTGGTTCTGTCTGGGAAGCAGGGGTAGCTCTAAGTGGGGGCTTGCAGGCTGCAGGTCGATTCAAAGATTTCCTGGCTGACAAATTAGTCAGCTGGACTTGTCTAAGGAATCCTGAAAGCAGGAAAGGAAACAGGCAGCTTGAGGAACAATAAGGGAGGCAAGTTTCTTGATCTGTAGATGAAGCCTCATAGGTGACATCTGTCGACTTCGGAGAGAACAGGTAAGTGACTTAAAAGGTGCCCAGAGCCCCCAAAAGACAGCTTTACAGGGTCATCAAACACTTTGAATTTTCTTGTTCATCTGTTATGTGATGCTATACCAGAGCCAGGCTGGAAAGTGAACCACATTAAATAGGTAATAAAAAGTCTGTCTCGCCGGGCTCGATGGCTCAGCCTGTAATCCCGCACTTTGGAAGGCTGAGGTGAGTGGGTTGCCTGAGCCCGCGGGTTTGAGACCTGCCTGGGCAACTTGGCGAGACCTCATCTCTACAATAAATCAAAAAATGAGCCGGGCGTGGTAGCACGCGCCTGTAGTTCCAGCTACTTGGAAGGCTGAGGCGGAAGGATCGCCGGGGCCCAGCAGGTCGAGGCTGTGGTGGCCGGGAGCAGCCACTGCACTCCAGTCTGGGTGACAGAGTGAGACTCCGACTCAAAAAAAAAAAATGTCTGTCTCTTCAGGCCCCTTAGTTAGGAATTTGGCAAGGTTTAAAAAAAAAAGTGGCCACGCTCAGTGGCTTGGCCTGTAATCCCAGTACTTTGGGAGGCTGAAGTGAGAGGATTGCCTGAAGCTGCGAGTTCGAAACCAGCCCAGGCAACTTGGGGAGATCTCGTCTCTACAATAAATTAAAAAATGAGCCGGACGTGGTGGCGTGCGCCTGTACTTCTGGCTACTTGGAAGGCTGAGGCGGAAGGCTCGCCTGAGCCTGGCAGATCGAGACTGTGGTGGCCGTGAGCGTGCCACTGCCCTCCAGCCTGGGCCTCAGAGTGAGATTTCAACTCAAAAAAAAAAAGAAGGGAAGAAAATTAGGGGCGGTGGCTGGCCGCAGTCTTGGCTGAGGGGGAATAGCACCACACCACCACTGTGTGGCCATTTGGAGACTTGCAGGCAAGGAGTCTCAGAAACTCATTCGAACTGGAGTGAAGACGTTGGTGCTGGGGTGGGTGGGATTGGTGCTCTGGCTGACAAAACGAAGAGGGTGGGTGGTGGGAGTTATTACAGAGACGCTGGCTGTCTGCTGGTTCAGAAAACTTCACAGATGCCGGGCGCGGTGGCTCACACCTGTAGTCCCAGCACGTTGGGAGGCGGAGGCAAGAGGATTGCCTGAGCCCTGGGGGTTCGAGACCAGCCTGGGCAACGTGGCGAGACCTCATCTCTACAATAAATAAAAAAAAAATCAGCCGGGCGTCGTAGCGTGCGCCTGTAGTTCCAGCTACTTGGAAGGCTGAGGCGGAAGGATCGCCTGAGCCCAGCGGGTCGAGGCTGCGGTGGCTGGGAGCGGCCACTGCACTCTAGTCTGGGCGACAGAGTGAGACTCCAACTCAAAAAATAAAAAAAGGAATTGAAGTTGTGGAAGTATCTGCACAGAAGAGTACTGATGTCTGCAACTTATTTTGAGATCAAGAAAATGAGACAGAGCAGGGCCTGGTGGTTCACGCCTGTCATCCTAGCACTTTGGGAGGCCAAGGCAGGAGGATCACCTGAGGCCAGGAGTTTGAGACCAGCCAGGGTGACATAGGGAGACTTTGTCTCTACAAAGGAAAAAAAAATTCAAAAGTTAGGCAGACAACTCCTTTATTACGGTTCTGCTCGCTGTTCCCTTGCAGTGGCTCGGGAAACCTGTTTCTCCGTGCTAAATCTGATTTGGGTGAATTCCTTCACCACCTGCCACTCAAGCTGTCTGGCCGCAACCTGTGGCATCTGGTGGCGACATATGTAGAGTAGTATGATTGTGTGTGTGTGTGTGTGTGTGTGTGTGTTTTGTTGCCCAGATTGGGGTGTACTGGCACGCTCACGGCCAACGCAGCCTCGACCTGCTGGGGCTGAGGTGAAACTTCCGCCTCAGCCTTCCAAGTAGCTGGAACCACAGGTACACGCCACCACACCAGGCTTTTTTTGCTTTTATGTCTGGCCTCAAACCCCTGAACTCAGGCAATCCTCTCACCAATACCTCCTAAAGTGCTGGGATGACAGGCATGAGCCACCGCACCCAGCCTGTTTGGTTTTTTGTAGAGACAAGATCTTGTTATGTGGCCCAGATTGGTCCCAAACTTCTGGTCTCATACGAACCTCCCACCTTGGCCTCCCAAGGTGCTGTGACTACAGGTTTGAGCCACTGCGCCCGGCCCAAAGTGATTTTCAGAATTGTCTGGACGCTGATGAGCACTCTTTGAGCCGCTTTGAGCACCTCTTGTAATTGCAGAAGTAAAGCGTGGCTTGTATTCCTCTTACAATTTTAATATGATTTGTTTCCTTTCTCTAAATGTGTATACATTTTGGGGAGGGGCATCATCTGATCATCTGCATGGAATAAAAAAAGAGAGGGCTGGGCACATTGGCTCACGCCTGTCATCCCAGCACTTTGGGAGGCCAAGGTGAGAGGACTGCCTGAGCCCACAGGTTCGAG